TGTTGCAATCATTGTTGTCATGTTTTCCTAGTGAAAATCTTGCCAATCCCCCCCGTGAACTAGCAAGCAGCGTGAACACAAGGAAACAGCTAAAGAACACAGAGGTCACTCTTGCCCCATTCCTAGCCCATGGCCTAGCTCTCGTTGTACTAGTCATCTCCGCAGGCACGAATTGCCGGAGTTCTAGGAGCAGTTTTTTAAAGATGAGGGAATATCGGGAGACTGAGAAGGCCTTTGCAACCAGCCTAAGGCGAGAGAAGGGGGTTCCCTAAGGTTTTCAGTGAGAATGAACCAATTGCCAGGTAAGGGAGGGGGAAAACGTGCTGAGGCAAGAGATGACCACCATTCTTTTTAAATCACGTTTGACAGTGCGTCTTTCGAAGACAAAGTATCGGGAGGTGGGGGAGGGGGGTATGTGAGAGTAAAATGGCTTATGCTAGCTTTGCTTGCTTGCCTTGACCATATTATGCTATATCTAGCTTAGGTTTATTTTATCATGCATGATTTTGCTTGATTGCCTAGGCTAGGTGCTTTCCTATATTTTATCATTATTATAGCACCGAACTAGGTTGCATGCATTAAGTTTGAGGCCTTTCGGTTGTCAACAAATCGACTTCTACCGAATTCGGGAAGGATCCATTCAAGACGCTTTGCGACCCCCGGAACCTTCGCATAACACCTGAGTTACTGGCCTTGTGTCGACACTATATATAGCCTCGTGTTATACCCAGGTGAATGAATCAATACATCTCGCAGTTCTGAATTCGATCCTCTTGATCCTCAAACTTGGTCATCAAAGCCCGTTTTCACGCAAATTTTTTCGACCGCTAAAATCTAGCTTATAAAAACCGGCGGAGGCAACAACGAAAAGCGCCGATTTTGGGTACGAAAACTAGTTCCACGCATTTTTTTTAACGTCACCCTCGAACTAGTTTTTACACGTGCCTCAAGTTAATTGGCGAAAAAAATGGAATGTCGAAAGTCCGATCGATTCACATCTCAACGGCCCATTGAATTTCGCTAAAGAAAATGGAATCTGGAGCGACAGAATGAGTTTCTCCTCAACAGCCAAGGTTGGATGCGAGATTCACTGAGGGAGAATTGCGCGACCTACAGAATCCGTGCTCGATGATTCTACAATCGATTCGCTTCGCAGTAAGTCGACCAGCGCACCTAATTGAATTATTTATGTCGCAAATCTTCTTGTAGATCGCCAAATGGAGGAAATCGGTGATAATATCGTACAAGAAATTACGGAGTTGCGCACCAACCTGGACCAGACGCGAGCAAGACTCCAGCAAATTGAGGCACTCCTCTTGGCAGCCGCCACAGCAGCATTGAACGCAGTAGCAACTGTTGCAGCGACGGCAGCAGTAGCAGCGACAAACCAACATTTCACGCAGTAGTGGCACCAGCTTTGCCGAACCTCGAAGCACCCCATCCGAGGATCCTGAAAGCATTGTGCGAAGAGATCGGACGTTCGAAAATTCGTGGCTAGACTCAAAATGTGGAACGTGGACACAATCTCGGACAGATTTAATCGCGCGTCTTGAACATATGAATTCGAGCTACATGGCGTGGCAGCAGATTCATCAGCATAAATAGACAGTAGCATAGTGCACTACACGCATGAGATGGAGGAGTCATTTAACCGAATTCCAGACCTGACCGAAGGGGAAAAACTGCAAGCGTAAACTGAGGGACTAAAAATGGAGATACAACGAAAAGTAATTGCCGCTAACTATAGTACCTGCCGCAACATGGTGCGTGCAGCAGAGCAATACGATGCGCTGACGCGAGATCAACCCGGAACACAACGCCACGTGCCGAACATGTCTTTTGACACGGAGCGATCGACACCCCCCACGTTCGTCGACCCGATGGACATCAACAAAATTAATGCGAAGCCGTGGACAGCAAAATCCAAGAAGGGCGAGTTTTGCGGCGCATCCGGACACCAGATCCAGTCGTGTTACAGAAATGCTGGGCAAAATGAAAAAATCACGTCTAGAAATGCTGGGCAACATCAATGCGGCACCCCCGAAGTAAAAAACGGGTATTGCCAGCAGCCGCACATCGAGCTAGCGATCGCAAAAGGATCCGAAAAAGGTAGAAAGGCGATGATGTGGTGACTTCAGAGTGGGCGAAAATTTGAGAAAGTGATGGCGCGAATTTAAAATGTCCCGACCAGCCGGCGCCAAGGAAATTTGCCGACGAAAAATGAGGCTCCGCAAAAAAAAGGGCCTTGCACCGGCCGGGAAACTCCAGACTGTCAGAATCCCAACCACTAGAACATTGGGATGAAATGGCTTGTTTGTGTAGCAGGTAAGTGCGCCCATAACCCCCCAGGCCAACGTGCCTGTAACCCTTCCCTAGGATCAATCGGGGATCACCAGTGGACCTCTGGCACCCCCCCGCACTGGGATGCCCGAAGTGCACACACCGGGATTCGAACCCGAGACCTTCGCTCGGATACCATGTCAGAATCCCAACCACTAGACCATTGGGATAAAAGGGCTTGTTTGTGTAGGGCGTAAGTGCGCCCATAACCCCCCTGGCGAACGTGCCTATAACCCTTCCCTAGGATCAATCGGGGATCACCTGTGGACCTTTGACACAGACGAACACCCCCGAGAGTAAGAATTCGTTGAAGTTATCCTATCGAGATATTTTAACTAAGAATATTATTTTTTTGTGGTTTTTGTTGAGTGATGCTACCATTCGCATTCACGTCTGTCTGCCTCCCATCATATGTTCGTGCGTTGCATGTGTGTTGTGAGTGTGTGCAAGAATTTTTGTTTTGTGCGGTTTGGTTTTTCTGAGTGTGTGTGTGTGTGAATGTTATTTGGCTTGAGCAGATATCTGAACTGACTCCTCTGCTCAAGAGCTTTCCGAGGAACCAAGTATCGCTTCAATCGGAGCACGAACAAGAAAGTTACGAACGTTGGAGTTCGTATGCTTTTGATATTTGGTTGTGGTGACTATGGGAAGTTGTGGGGTTGACTCAATATGGGGTACAGACTTTTGAGGGTTGGGAAATTCGTCTTTTCTACTGTAGTTGCTGCCAAATGGTTGGGAGAAACCAAACCAGGCTGGCAAGTGTGGCCAAGTTGGGTTGAGGTGGATTGTGGAGGTTGGGATAGTGACAAAGGTCAAAGTTGGGTTGCCTATGGGGAAGGGAATTGTATGGCATGGGGTTTCCTTGGTTGGGGACTCTCTTGGGACCTTCCCTCTCGTCCTCCTCATCCCTTCCACCTGGTTTAGTGCTACTCCAATTCTCTTGTGTGAACTTGTGTGAACTTTGTGATTGAGTTAAGATTCTTTGACAGCATACCCCCTAGTGCGCCGAAATTGATAGCTCAAGAAATACTTCACCTTTTTGCATGATTCAACTTGGGAATTGTAGCCACGGAGTAGAGCTACAACATATTTGAGTTTGATGAAGTTTTGACTGTGAACGTTTCGTCGACGGCGTTTCTTGTGAACTCGACTTTTCTGTTCAGAAACTAGGCCCAACGATGTTGAGATATTTTGGCTACTAATCTTCATAGACTCCGTCCTCAGTCTCTTAAAAGTGGTATCAGAGCTGATTAAGGACTTTGTGGAGAGTCTACTGAAGTGTGAAGACCCTCATAGACCCACCATGGCCTGTGGGCGTGCCTAAGTGGAGTTCTGGAGGTTGGATGTGACTTCCGCTAAGGGGAAACTCTGCCGAAATTTCGTTGGCGCCGACACTTGTGAAGATTGTGTGGATCTACATTTTGACCAGCAAAAGGGGGAGCTGAAACCTCTGATTGGGAGCAGAGGAGATGAATCAAGAGAGTGGAGATGCAGCTGAGAAGAGGAGTGAACCGCCACCATCCAAGATCGAAGCTTTGGATGGCTCCAACTATGAGGAATGGAGCGGGCGGATGCGGAGCGCCTTCAAGCGCTACAAGCTACTGAAAATTGCAATGGGAGAGGAGAAGATGCCGGGGGAAGGAGATGCCCGCGATCGGTGGATTGAGAAGAGCGCGGTGCTGTACGACCTCATCCTCCAATCGGTCAACAACGACATGTTCCAGCACATCAAAGATTTGGTGGAGTTGGATGATTCCGGACCAAAGGCATGGAAGCTGCTATGCGACGTGATTCAGCCCAACACGCTGCCGATGGTGATTGTGTTGGAGAAGGAGTTGGCTGCCCTCTCCATGAAACCGGGAGATGATGTGAAACCGGTCCTTGACAAGATCAAGGACATCTATGCGAGGATGGCAGCGGCGGGCAGCGAAGTGTCGCAGATGCAACAGTGCACCAAGATCATCTCGGTGCTCGACAACTCGTGGGACAACCTCATCCCCACCCTCAACGTTCAGCAGGACAAGTGGACGCTTGAGTGGCTACGGCAGCAGATTCTGCAAGAGGACTTCCGAAGGCGCCACACGGGAGGTGGTGCTGCCAACAAAACTGCTGAGGGGTATGGAGCTGCAGGAGGCAGCAGAGGAAGAGGGGGAGGGAGAGGCCGAGGCCGTGGGAGAGGCTTTGGCAGAGGGAGAGGCCGAGGTGACTACAATGAGGGGCATGGGAGCTCTGGTGGCAGGGGGAGCACCCGAATGGAGGGTGCGTGCTGGTACTGCAAGAAGGTTGGACACCCGTGGTTCAAGTGTTTCAGCCGGCCTGAGGGATGGGCCCCTCCAGGCATGAAGCCGCCAAGTGGTGAACGTGCACGCGGTGGCGCTGTGCAATGATCAGGTGCACAAGGTGATGGTGCACAAGGTAAAGCCGACCCTGGGATGTTCCTCATGGTTGAGGATGTGCAAGGGAGTGGGGGTGATGTGGGTTCAGTTGGGAAGGTTGTGATGCACCCCCTCACTCACTGGGTGATCGATTCAGGTTGCACGAGTCATATGACCCCACGGGCAGATTTGCTTGATGAGGTAAAACCTCCTGGGAAGATCAAGTTTGTGGCTGCCGCTTCACGTGCTTTGCTCCCTGTGATTGGTGTTGGGAATGCCAAGGTGATGGGAGCCAATGGAGAGCTTGTGGGGCTTGGGAATGTGCTGTTGGTTGAAGGTTTGTCCGCTAACCTTCTTTCTGTGCGCCGGCTGCAGAAGAGCAAGGCTGAAGTTACCTTCGGCCCAACCAGCTGCCGTGCAAAGCTTGGGAAGTTGCTGCTGTGGAACTTGGAGGAGAAGAGCAGCTGCATCAAGGACCTGTGGCAGCTGCCCATCATCCCTTGGAAGGGGAAACCACCAGCAACAACAAAGGCAGCGGGAGCGGCTAAAGCAACTGCGGGAGGAGAGGAGTCTGCACCAACTGCTGGGGCCATGGATGCAGTCAAGAAGGTGCAACAGCTACAACAGCCACATGGTGAGGTGCTTGCTGGTGTGGATGCGACAGCTGCATGGGCAAAGGCTTCATCTGGGAGTGGTGAGGCTGATTGGGAGACGTGGCATGAGAGGCTGTGCCATGTGAACATTCCTATGCTGCAGAAGTTGGTTAAGGATGGGTGCTTGAAGGGGCTGGAGGTGAAGGGGGGAGCAAAGGAGATTGGGAGCTGCCCTACCTGCCTTGAGACCAAATTCACGAAGTTTCCCTTCAGCAGCAGCACAGGACCAGCCAAGGCACCACTTGCACTAGTGCACATGGATGTGGTGGGCCCCACGAGGGCCCTTTCTCTCTCGGGCAGCCGCTACTTCTTGACAATTGTGGACGACCACACACGTGCGGTGTGGGTGTACCCTCTCAAGACTAAGGGGGAGGTGGCAGCAGCTGTTCTTAAGGAGTGGATGCCGAGAGCACAAAGGGAGAGCGGACACAAGGTGAAGGTGATCCGCACTGACAACGGAGGAGAGTTCATCGGCGCTGATTTTGAGAAGGAGCTGAAGCGGAAGGGGATCCAGCATCAGCTCACAGTGCCTTACAACCCTCAGCAGAATGGCGTGGCTGAGCGGTTCAACCGGACTCTGCAGGAAGGTGCTCGCACTCTCCTTGGGCGTGCAGGGCTGCCGGATCCGTTTTGGGTGACAGCACTGCGGCAGGTCGTTGTTGTGAAGAACCGGGTGCTGGCGACTGTGGGGGACAAGCAATGGGTCCCCTACACCAAGTGGTATGGGAGTGCGCCTGCAGTCAACATGCTGAGAACTTATGGCTGCATGGTGGTGTTTCATGTGCCTAAGGAGAAGAGGGGAAAACTGGAAGCTTCTGGGAGATGGGGTGTGCACTTGGGGCTTGCTAAGGATCACAAGGGCTGGCTGATTTGGGACTTGACCAGCCAGCAGCTGACTGTGTCAAGGGATGTGAAGTTCCTTGAGTCCTTGTACTACAAAGAGTGGAAGCAGCAGCAGCAGCAGAAGCTTCTTACGACACCGCTAATTGTCGAGGCCGATGAGGTGCAGCGGCCTTCGAGGCAGGTGGAGGTTTGTGTCTCCAAGGAGGAGATCTCTGGGGTGACTGATGATGGGGGGGAACCTGAGGTGGAGCAGCAGCAGCAGCAGCAGCAGGAGGAGCAAGGTGCTCCACAAGGTGCCGGACGTACGGCTGACCGTCCTAGGAGGGATGTGCGCCCTCCTAACAGGCTGACCTATGCAAGTCGTGGCAAGCCAAAGGTGGTGAGGGCTGGGAGTGTGGCTGAGCAGTGTGATGAGGATGAGATAGCACACTGCTACTGGGCAGCCGTCCCTGAGCCCAAGACGCTAGCTGAGGCATTGAGCGGGACCGATGCTGAAAAGTGGAAGCAGAGTGTGAAGGAGGAGTATGATTCTCTGCTAGAGAATGAGACGTGGGAGCTGTGTGAGCTGCCACCCGGGAAGAACGCCATTTCTTCCAAGCTGATTTTCAGGCACAAGTACGGACCTGATGGGGCGCTGACCCGCTACAAGTCAAGGCTTGTGGCTAAGGGGTTTCAGCAGACAAAGGGAAAGGACTTCAACGAGCTCTATGCTCCTGTGGGGAAAGGCACAACACTTCGGGTGTCATTGGCAATGGCAGCAAACCGTGGATGGCAGGTGAAGCAGATGGACATCACCACCGCCTTCCTCAATGGGATCATTCTGGAGGAGCTGTACATGTTACAGCCTGAGGGTTTGGATGATGGGAGCGGCAGGGTGTGCAGGCTGAAGAAGGCCATCTATGGCCTGAAGCAGGCTCCTCGTGCATGGTACTACAAGTTAGAGGAGACTCTGCTGGCTGGGGGTTTCAAGAAGAGTGAGTGTGATCACAGCTTGTTCCTGCTGCAGGAGAAGGAGCAGTTTCTCATGCTCCTGGTGTATGTGGACGACATCCTGCTCTTCTCTGAGTCGTCTGCAATGATTGAGCATGTGGAGGAAATGCTGGAGATGCAGTTCAAGTGCTCCAAGATGGGAGATGTGAAGTACTTTTTAGGGATGCATGTGGAGAGGGACCTTGACAAGGGAGTGTTGAGGTTGCACCAGAGAAATTATTGTGAGGGGCTGGCTGAGAAGTATGGGCTGCAAGATGGAGGAAAGCCAGCCACCCCACTGCCTTTGGGGTTCACTGTGGAGCCCTGTGCTGATGAGGAGGTGGTGGGTGAGAGTGACAGGAAACTTTTTCATTCCATGGTTGGGGCAATCAACTATGCGGCTAACCACACACGGCCTGACATTGCCTTTGCAACATCCAGGCTTGCCAGTGTGGTTTCACGCCCCAGTCATGAGCAGCTGGTAGCGGCCAAGAGGTTGGTCCGCTATATGAGTGCAACGGCATCAGTGGGTTTGGAGTACAGTGCTGAGAGGCAGAGGCTGCAGAGGGGTGCAGCTGATTTGAGCAAGGGGGAGATGCTCCTGACCTGCTACACTGACGCTAGCTTCAACTCGGTGAAAGCGGATGGCACCAGCATTGGAGGCTATGTGTGCCTGTTCGGAGGTGGTGCAGTGAGCTGGCGCAGTAAGAAGCAGAATGAAGTGGGGCAGTCCTCGTGTGAGACAGAGTACATGGCCCTGCATCATGGGGCAAAGGAGGTGGTGTGGCTGAGGCGTTTGTTGGAGGAGATTGGAGTTGGTCAGAGGGAGCCGACTGTGATTTTCTGTGACAATGAGTCGGCGGTGAAGCTAGCGAAGAATGCTTGTCTTCATGGGCTGACCAAACACATCAGGCCTAAGTGGCACTGGGTGAGAAGGCTCCTGGACAAGGAGGTGCGGCTCGAGATTGTGAAGACCCATCAGCAGGCGGCTGACATTCTCACCAAGCGCCTGGCTGAATCTGAGCATTGGAAGGGCATGAAGCTTGCTGGGATGAGTGTGCATTGAGGATGCATGCTTGAGCTATGACATGTGGGATGATGGTTGGCAGCCAGAGGGGGAGTTTGTTGAGTGATGCTACCATTCGCATTCACGTCTGTCTGCCTCCCATCATATGTTCGTGCGTTGCATGCGTGTTGTGAGTGTGTGCAAGAATTTGTGTTTTGTGCGGTTTGGTTTTTTTGAGTGTGTGTGTGTGTGTGAATGTTATTTGGCTTGAGCAGATATCTGAACTGACTCCTCTGCTCAAGAGCTTTCCGAGGAACCAAGGATCGCTTCAATCGGAGCACGAACAAGAAAGTTACGAACGTTGGAGTTCGTATGCTTTTGATATTTGGTTGTGGTGACTATGGGAAGTTGTGGGGTTGACTCAATATGGGGTACAGACTTTTGAGGGTTGGGAAATTCGTCTTTTCTACTGTAGTTGCTGCCAAATGGTTGGGAGAAACCAAACCAGGCTGGCAAGTGTGGCCAAGTTGGGTTGAGGTGGATTGTGGAGGTTGGGATAGTGACAAAGGTCAAAGTTGGGTTGCCTATGGGGAAGGGAATTGTATGGCATGGGGTTTCCTTGGTTGGGGACTCTCTTGGGACCTTCCCTCTCGTCTTCCTCATCCCTTCCACCTGGTTTAGTGCTACTCCAATTCTCTTGTGTGAACTTGTGTGAACTTTGTGATTGAGTTAAGATTCTTTGGCAGCATACCCCCTAGTGCGCCGAAATTGATAGCTCAAGAAATACTTCACCTTTTTGCATGATTCAACTTGGGAATTGTAGCCACGGAGTAGAGCTACAACATATTCGAGTTTGATGAAGTTTTGACTGTGAACGTTTCGTCGACAGCGTTTCTTGTGAACTCGACTTTTCTGTTCAGAAACTAGGCCCAACGATGTTGAGATATTTTGGCTACTAATCTTCATAGACTCCGTCCTCAGTCTCTTAAAAGTGGTATCAGAGCTGATTAAGGACTTTGTGGAGAGTCTACTGAAGTGTGAAGACCCTCATAGAGTAGTTATGCCTTGCTCAGCTTGTAGGACGAGCAAACTGGTCGAGAAGAATTTCGGCAGCACCAAGGAATTATTTCTACTCTCGTCAATACGAAGTAAAAGAATACGAGATTGAAAACGCAGAAGCATTAAATTAATTTCGACAGGTACAAGCACACATTTATATAGATTCTACGCACAGGCAGGAGCAACTAGAGAACAGTTGTTTAACTGGCTCGCAGGATTTCGCCACGGTGTGTATTGAAAACAGTTGCACAACTCCTTGAGCATTTGGCTATATCCTCCTGTTGTTAAAAACTGTCTTCAAATTGCACTTGTAACAATCGCCCCTGCTGACTCAAATGTGTACACTCATGAGACTCGCATGGTGCTCCAATGTAGCTCAAATGTCTTCATGCGAGATCACAGTTGTATAACGGTTTTTACCGTTTGAAAAACGGAGTAACTGATTTGCACCTGTGTCGAAATGATTCCGCAAAGCGAAATACTTTCGCGAGAAATTTCGCGTCCCGTGAGTCAACTCGGAAAACAGTTTTTCAACTGTAAATTCCGAGCACCCCTTGTCAAACTTATATGCTATAGTCTGTGTAGGCCATAGTGGGGTAGACAATATTGAGAAAAATGAACGAGAATGAATTGACTAAGGGAAAGTTGGGTACAAGTGCAAACCCTAGAAAGTCGTACCCCATATGTGCTACCCCACTATAGCCTACAACAGCCATGTCATATAAATCTGACACACCCCAATAGGAAAAGTGGGGAAGAACAAGGGGTCACAAGACCAGTTAAGCAAAGCAAAGCAAGCTCAAGGTGGATCACAAAGTCACCACATATTCCGAGCATAAGTTCAAGGCCACAAGGCCAGTTCACATGCAGGATTACATATATATATATAAGGCTAGAAAAGCAAGAGCAGGTGTATATATATATGTAACAGTACAAACAAGGTCAAGTGGTGAGCAAGTGAGGCAAGGCAAGCTCAAGACCCAGCTGAGTACAGAAGCGCTGATGATCACAAGGCGCAAGCGCCTTGGTGAAGATATCAGCAGTGTTGGCCTCAGAGGCCACGTACGCAAGGCGCAGCTGACCACGCTGCTGTAGCTCACAGGCAAGGAAGTAGCTAAGAGCAATGTGCTTCGTCCTGTGCTCCAGTCTCTGCTCCCGACACAAGGCCAGCATGGCCTTGTTGTCTACGTACAGCACTGGAGGAGAACGAGGCGGCTCTCCGAGGTCAGTCAGCAGGTAGGTGAGCCAGCGAAGCTTCTGTGCAGCCATGGCTCCTGCGTAGATCTCAGCCTCACATCTGGAGCCGAGAACAGAAGACGAGCGGGTAGCCCGCCACGAAACAGAGCCGGAACCAAGGCTGAAGGTGTAACCCTGTGACGACCGCTGCGTAGCCTGGTTGTCAGCCCAAGAAGCGTCTGCATGCCCAGTGAGGACCACTGGACTCTGCCCTCCAAGCACAAGCCCCATGCCCAACGTACTGCACAAGTAGCGCAACACCCTCTTCGCTGCAGCCATGTGCTCTGGTCGGTGTCTCCCAGGAGCAACATAGCGTGCCAAGATGCTAAGAGGGTATGCAAGGTCAGGTCGTGTGCAGGTCATTAGGTACATGAGGCACCCAACAAGCTCTGGGTACGGGCCACTCGGCTCTACGGACTCATCCGAGGGCAGAGCTGAGAGCGAGTGGCGAGTAGGCAGAGGAGTGGCCTGAGGCGAGGAGTACGTGAAGTCGAAGCGCTGAAGGACCTGCTGCACCATGTGTGACTGAGTCAGGGTAATGGTGCGGCGTGCTCTGTCCCAGGTGATCTCCACGCCAAGGTAGCTGCGCAGTTCACCCAGGTCTGTAAAAGTGTCTCTTCTGCAGCTCGGACTTCACGTGGGCGAGTCCAGCAGTGTCAGCAGTGGCAAAGACCAAGTCGTCGACGTACACGAGGATGTAGAGCGGCGGCAAAGAGGTGTCGGTGCGCAGAAATAGCGACGGGCCGTCAGTAGAGGGAGCAAACCCAAGAGCCGCAAGTGTAGTCCTCAGTGTGTCGTGCCACTTACGGGGTGCCTGGCGGAGACCGTAGAGTGGTTGCCGGAGGCTCCACTGGGTGCCAGGAGGAAAAGACCCAGTGAAGCCAGGTGGGCGACGCAGCCAGATCTCCTCGTGCAGGCTGCCCTGCAAGAAAGCAGAGCTGAAGTCAAGAGAGTGCAGCTCGTAGTCACGGTGAGCAGCTATGTGGAGCAGTACCCGAAGAGTGGTCATCTTCGGGGTGGGAGAGAAGGTCTGAAAGTAGTCAACTCCTTGCCGCTGACTGAAGCCACGAGCCACGTAGCACGCCTTGAAGACAGGCGGAGAACCCGGCGGCCGCTTCACCCTAAAAATCCA